AATTGTAGGTCATCCTGTTTAAGAATAGAAATTAATGCGTCTTCGGGGAGAGAATGAAAATTTTCAGATTCAAAAATTGTATTAGGATATTTGACAATAATATCGTTACAGAAGTCTCGAATAATTTCAAGATTCTTGACTTGATAACTTGTTCGATAAATTTGAGCAAATTTTAGTCTTAACCAAGAAGCACAGTTATTAACGAGATAAGTTTGAAGATGCTCAACCAATTCATCCAGTTTAAGTTCATTAGATACAATTAATAGATCAAAAATAGTAGAATTTTCTAATTTTTCTAACGAAATTATTCCACCATAGATATATCTAAATTACAAAAAAAAATATTAGTCTTTTAAAAATGTATAAAAAAAAAATATAATAAATTTAAGAGATTATGCTTACTTGATAATGACACTGAACATTTTAATAGAAATATTAGTGTTAGGCAACGTTAATGTTTTAATATGGTCGTCATTGAATGGAGTTTCGTTGAATTTATTTTTAAAGTAAGGACTACGGGATTGTAAAATATAAGAATGAACTTTAAAAATTTGAATATTAGGTGCTTCACCAATTTCAATTGATACATTATAATCAACAGGGTTTTCGAGAAGTTGAGTAAGATCATTTGACAAACGATTAAAAAATTCAGTGATCATTTTTCATGAATTAAAAAATTATAAAAATTTGATTGTATGTAAATTGGGAAAATTATTCTATTATTTCTAGGTTGCATATGTTCTATGATAAAAAAAAGGGTCGCATGACATATTCTGTATATTAATCACTTCAATAAGGAAAGATAATCAAGCAAACTAATTGTGTACAAAAAATAATAAAGATTTATGTATAGAAGTACGATCACGTTTATTGTGTAACATGTAACAGGTTGTTACATTGGCATTGATGCTTTTAAATAAAAATATTAAAAGATAAAAATGCGGAAAGAAATAAAGGTAAAAAATATTAGCATATTTAAAATTAATCCCTATTTTGCTAAAACTCATCTTTATCAAATTTGGGACATCGTATTTTAATGGGTAAATTCCTCTTCATCAAATATAGACAAAGAAATTATGTTCACAATTTGTAGTCTTACAATTGATACCTTAACTTATAGATTTAGATAATTGGTCAGAATTTAATTTCTTTTAACATTTAAAATATTTGATATTTATATCTATAATGATCAATTGCTGATCCATGAATAAATTGTGGGGCTAGCCAGTTCAGTTATATGATAATCTTATTATGGTCCCAAAAACTTTGTTTATGAGCAACATAATGTCTACACAAAAAGCAAAACCACAAATTTTAGCAATTGGAAACATTATAGAGAACATTTATTATGGACTTTTGCTTCAAATTGGTGGTGTTTTTTTCGAAAAAAAAAACTAAAAATATTTAGTATTGTCACAGTCTGCGCAGAACAATGTAGGAAGTCAAGCCAATCAGTCTTGATAAATTTAAGATGATCACACAATAATTCAATGTATTATTAACACTCTTTTTCTCGTGCGCAATATCTCAGAACACAGCAAGACAGGCAATCAGTCGATCTAAACCTGCTTACTAACACTCACAAACAATAATGCAATTACGTGTATGATCTGAAGGTACGATGAGCAAGTGGAGTAAAAGTATCTTCACTACTTATTTCGTACACTGCTGAAATTTAATAGACTTTTTGGAGTAACTTGCCAAGAAATATAGAAAGTTTATTAAAAGAGTTATGAAGATTTATTACAAAATATATATATTTTTATATATAACAATAGAGATATATCACTGCGTTGGCGTGTCTTATCTCTATTGCTATTAGAAATTATTTATTATTATTATTAGAAATTAAAGTTTATTACAAAAATTATTTATATTATTTCGAAGCTATTTGTATTAATAAAATTATTTGAGAAACTATTTATTATGAACTAAAAGAAAATTAAAATTATTTAGATCAAAATTATTTGTAATTATTAAAATTATTAAGAAATTGTTTATTGGGATAAAATATTTTATGAATTAAAAGTTTTTCGCGCGCTGAGTTTTCTCCCCCTTTTTTTCACTGGTTATTTTTATACCTTCCAATTTGTTCTCTTTTTCCTTTTGTTTTCGCGTTTTAACAAGTTTTCTCCTTTTTCTCTACGAGGATGACACACGAGGATGAAAGATGCTGTGCAAGGATGAGAAATCTGTCATCTAGATGGTAGCACACTCATCCTCAGGTAACACTGTCATCTTGCTACCATCTCTCGTGACATTCATAACCTTCCGCAATCCTCGTACAGCATTCCCCGTGGCATTTGTGCCACCTCAGTATATACCTTTTCGTGTCATGTCAATTGTCGTTTCATGTGTTTCTTGTATGAATTATTAAATATAATAACAATGACTTTCAACCAGTTTTATTAATGAGTCAGATCCTGACTCTAATGTATTACTACTTTTAATTTTATTCTTTTTGGCATTTTAGAATTAGAAACACTTAAAAGTAACTTCAGCTAATAATTATGAAGCAATTTTAAGTAAAATATAAAAAGATTACACTTCTTATTGCAAATATGAGTTCATCAAAATACAAAGAAATAAACTATGGTGGATATGGTTATACAGCAACCTTGATACACAAAGTTTGTGGAGATCAATGTTTAGTGGTACAGCAATTTATGAAAATTCAGTTTCAATAACAGTATATAGAAATGGAATTCAATGCAAACAAGGTTTAGTATTGAAAAGAAAAACTTCAACAACTAATCTTGAGTGGATTTGGTTTTTCAAGAAATGGAAATCAAAAAACGCAATTGTGAATTTTTAATTACTTTGACACAAGTATATTCTTCTAATCACCAATTACAAAACGTGCATGATGAAAGATGTCGAATGTACAATTTTAAAAGATACCTCAGGTCAAAACATTGTATCTTGGATTGCCCGTTATTCAATGTCTTTACGCCAAAAGTTGCAGAAGAAATAATAGAGAAAGGTAAACGTTCTTTGGTAGAACTAAATCAACCTCCGAGAGAAAAGAATACAAATAGTTCAAAAAAGAGTACAGAAGATTACAAAAACATCAGAAAATAATTTCTAATAATAAAATAATATAAATAGAATATATATTATCTTTATGTGAAATCTACAATTCCGAAGTTTAAAAATAATTATAAAGAAATAAAATAATAAATTTTTTTTTTTTATTATTTTTGAAGTTTTTCCGCATTTTTTGACATTTTGAATAGTATATTTTTAAAAATTTTACGTACATCTGAATTATTCGATTGGAAATAATTTTATCAGAAGATATAATAAATGATCCCCACAAATTACTATTGGTAGATTCTCTTTCATTCACAGGCTTCTGATGATGATGATGTTGTTGTTGGTGTCTTGTAACTTGATCGAGATGAAGTTATTTATCTGATGCAGTTAGAGTTAAATATTTAAAGTGATCATAAATCTATGTAAAATATGAATTCTTCTCTTTGACAATGATAATATATTTGATTGTGAATTTTGTGAAGAAATTATTTGATTTGGTTCCTCGGAATTTGATCGACTCTGTACTTTAAATTAATAATTTTATTTTAAAAATTTACGATGGTATCTTCAAGTAATAAAATCATTAAGTAATAATAATTGTAGTAATTCTCAAATTCTCTAAAGGACAAAAACGTCAAAAAGTAAAAAATGGAGCGCCATTATGTCCTAGAATTATTTCAGAATTTGAAATATATATAAACCACTAAATTGACCTCAAAGTAGTGATTGAACCTGTCTCTAAAAACTTTAATCAGGTCAACTATTTATTTTACAGGTCAACCGGGTAGCAATATATTATGTACGGGTATAAAGATTTTAGATGAGTAAATATACTATCTAATCATCATTTTTGATTTTCATGAGTATTATCCGATTCATAAAAAGTATTATTAAATTCTGTAAAATTATCCATAATGAAAATAATAATAATAATTTTTTTAACAGATGACACTAATTTATATGACGGTGACCTGACAGGTATACCTGCCTGTATTTTAACCAGGTCAAAAATTCTACTCAGTTCCAATCACTACTCCAACGTCCTGAAATTAAAGTGAGGAGTGTAACCAAAATTAATTAAATGGAAATATCTTAATTTCATTCAAAAAAATGTTTATAGGAGGTATAGTAGGTGGCAAAAAAAAGGTATTTTATTTGATATTAAGTTTTTTATTTTAATTTTATTTAAATCTAACAAATACATTATATAATAAAGTTATATACTGTGTATACTAAAGATGTATTTATTTATGAATTAAATAAAAACAAAGAAATTAAATGAAAAAGTTAAAAGAACACTAATAAATAAATTCTCTCGCGCAGATCATGCTGATTAGTCAAATTTGTTTTCATTTACCTTTTATTTCACTTACTTTTAGTATAGAGAAACTCCTTTGATCTTTCAACTTGACTTCTATAGTCTTTCTAGTCTATTTTCCTCACATCGAATCCTTAATAGCTTTTCTAATAATAGAAATCTCACGAGACCAAGAGTGGATATCTAACAACTTCCAATAATTAAACAAATTATGGTAAAGATAGGAATACATATCAATATAGTTTGAGATCTATGAACCTAAATAAAGCATCTTACTATTAATAGAACTCAGGACTCCTATGGTAAAGTTTCTCTCCTGAAATTATTTAATATATATCATGAAATTTTACTTCTATGTATATAGTTGATGTTGTTAAAAGTAAATTCTCAAAGCAAAATGCAGTCACCTTCAGTATCATAGAAACTTTATTTTAGTTCTTTAATCATTACCTTTATTATATCTTCGATAAAGTCATGGTATAATATAAAAGAAAATATAAGATTAATATTTTTAATTTATCCCACGTTTCGCTCTTGATAATTTGGTGATATTTTTACTGACTAAAATTTTTGGGATATTTTCAACTACGAATATCTTTTTGTAAATAATTAATTTATACAATCGCGAGCGAAGTAAAAATAAATTTTTTTGAATTGCTAAATATAAATAAAATATTTTATTTGTAATGAATCATTACAAGACAAATAATTATGCTTAATAAAAATATAAAAAAATCAATAAATAATTACATATTTATCAGTGGCTTCTAATAATTCTTTTTCTGGCTCGGGGTCACCAATTTGAGCGGAGAGATATTCTCGGGCTTTATCGTATTTCTTCCTCCATTCGCCTTCGTGCTGGGATGCTGCATTTTTGAGATAGCTGAGATTAATGGCAGTGGACCACCATGAGGCTGATTCGGGTTTTTTAAGTTTTTCATTTTTGATATATGTTTGAACAGTGGTTACAAAGGTTTTAGAAGATGGTATATTTAATTCTTTGCGGATTGTTTCGCTCAATTCAATTATTACTTTATTTGATGCCTTAATTATTTCTTCATTACCAATTTTAGAGGAGATGCATTCTCGACTTTATTATATTTATCTTTCCAGTTACTTTCATGATGAGGTGCAACTATATTAAGGTAAACAAGAGTAAGTACAGTTTTCTAGACGGAGGAGTCAACGGATTTGAGTTTGTCATTAGTGACAAAATTTTGAACCGAGGTAATAAGGTCATTGGAGGAAGTAACATCAAGTTCTTTTGTCATTTTTTCACTGATTTCAAATGACCATCTTGCTTTTGAGTCGAAGTGATAGTCTCAATAGTTTCAGGTGTTGTAGCAGATTGGATTGCAATAACAGCGGTTTTCTTTTCTCTACAATAACTTTCTTAGTAATATTGTCTACAAGGTGTTTGTCAGTACAGTCTATTAATTCTTTATAGTTTTCTCATCAGAAAGATATTTCTGTGCTTTGTCATATTTTTCTTTCCATTCTCCTCCGCGTTGAGAAGCGGCATTCTTGAGATATGAAAGAGTCAGAGCTGTAGACCACCATTCAGATGATTCGGGTTTCTTTAACTTCTCATTGGTAGTATATTTTTGTACGGTTTCTATAACTTGTTTTTAGGAGCATCTAATTCCTTGATAACATTTTCACTCAATTCAAAGCATCCGTTATCTTTTTGGGTTGAAATAATAGATTTAGTTTTTCGGGTGTGGTTTTGGATCGTACTACAATTAATGCTGCCGCTTCTTCTTGGTGATCGTGTTCATCGGTGTCAAAGGTAAGAGCTTCCTCGATACATTTTCCGAGATCCTTAGCAGTATCAGTGGTTGACTCATATGTCTAGTCAATCCACCGGCATTACTAAAAATTCTTTGAGTTTTTTCTACTTTGGTTTCGACATCCTTTATCTCCTGTTTATGTTCCTCGATAATTTTATATGTTGCTTTATCAATTACATATTTGTCAGTAGCTTCTAATGATTCTTTCTCTGTCTCGGAATCTCCAATTTGGATAGAGAGATATTCTCGGGCTTTAATGTACTTATCTCTCCATTCACATTCCTGATCGGATGCTGCATTTTTGAGATAGCTGAGATTAATGGCGGTGGACCACCATGAAGCTGATTCGGTTTTCTTAAGTTTTTCATTTTTGATATAAGTTTGAACTGTGGTTGCTAGAGTTTGAGTAGAGGGAGATCTAATTCTTTTAAGATAGCTTCGATCAATTCAATTTGTCCATCTTCTTTTTGAACAGAAACGATTTCTTTAATGATCTTGGGTGAAGTAGTTGACTTAATGACTCCAATTGCTGCATCCTTATGTTCTTTATTTATTCTTTTTGGTTGTTTTTTCACTATTATTTTATTTGATGTCTTAATTATTTCTTCCTTTACTTCTGGATTACCAATTTTAGAGGAGAGATACTTTCGAGATTTGATATATTTATCTTTCCAGTTACTTTCATGATGAGGTGCAGCTGTATTACGGTAACCAAGAGTAAGTGCAGTTTTCCACACGGAGGAGTCAACGGGATTGAGTTTGTCATTAGTGACAAAATTTTGAACCGAGGTAATAAAGTCATTGGAGGAAGCAACATCAAGTTCTTTTGTCATTTTTTCGCTGATTTCAAATGATCCATCTTGCTTTTGAGTGGAAGTGATAGTCTCGATAGTTTCTGGTGTTGTAGCAAATTGGATTGTAATAACAGCAGTTTTCTTTTTCTTTACAATTACTTTCTTGGCAATATTGTCTATAACGTATTTTTCAGTACAGTCGATTAATTCTTTCTCGGTTCTCTCATCACTGATTTGTTCAGAAAGATATTTTTGTACTCTGTCATATTTCTCTTTCCATTCTCCTTCGTGTTGTGAAGCAGCAATAGGAATTAGAATAGTTAAGGAATGCTGGAATGAATTATCTTCATCTATTGAAGACTGACCAACCTGGAACCTCTTTATGACTAAGATTTTGGCAGTATCCATAAGTTCTGTTCTTGTTTGTTCATCTGTAACCAAATTTCCGACTTAGGTGATAATTTGAGTAGCAATCCAAAGTATTATGCCAAAATATGAAGGATAACGCACAAGGATGAAGGATAACTCACAACATTACAATGAATAATCTGATTGGATAATTTTATTTGATAGATACAAATTTCTGTATAATTAGGTATCCAATTTTAAATAACAAGTATCACATTATAGCCCTTGATTAGAGAATACTTTTAAAAAAAGTTTATATAATTTAGACTATTCATTGTTCTGCAATTCGCCTTTGAAATTTATTGATAAATTTAGTATTGATTTTGAGGCAAATATTTTGTCGATATTCTTGAAATTTAAAAATAATTACCAATCGTTGATACATATAAATCTTTTTGATCACTAAGAAAATATTAAAATAATTCTAAATAAATTTAAAGAAAATTATATTGTACATTTACTGTAAAAATTTTAGACCTATGATTTAATAATTGACGGAATAATTATCAGTTGTTTTTCAAAGTTTAGCTATCAATTATTCCTACAATTCTTATAATATAGGTTTAAAATTTTTATGGTAGATATCTAATGTTATTCACTTTAAGATTACTAAGTATGTGTATTAGCATGTCATTAGTATGAAACTTTAATTTCTAATTATATTAAAAAATCTCGATTTAAATTAGTCATGTCTAAGCAAAGTTCCAATTTTAATTAGAAAACTCAAATATGGTA